GTCTGTGTGTTTACCTGTCTGTCTCTACATGTGTCTGTGTGTTTACCTGTCCCAGGTTTGCGTCGTGTTGAGAGACAGGTGAGTGTCATCCTATAGATTTCCCATCATGCATTTCTCTGCTGTGTGACAGAGCCTGTTGCCATGGAGGAGCTGGTCAAACACATGTCCAGGTGTCAGCACCTGGGCTGGATGAACGTGATTGGTGAGCTGATGATGAAGTAGTCACTACTGTACTGTATATAGTGACTACTATAGTAGTAGTAGTGACTACCATATACAGTATTATATAGTAGTAACTATATACAGTTCTATAAAGTGACTACTATTCTTGCATAAAAACAATTTGACTTTTGCTCGTTACAGTACAGAAAGATTTCCCTCTGTGTTAAAAGATATGAAAGAAAACATTAGAGTGAATAATCGATAATTTAAAGATGTGCAGGACTCAGTAACTTCTAAATGTTTAGTGTCCGTCTGCTCGTTTCACTCTTGAAAACTGTGATTGTTTATAAAGAGTTCTTAAAGTGACTGTTGATAAACACATCGTGAATTTCAACTGCTTAAAAGTTCAGAAACTTTTTAAAAAGTTCGTAAACTTCAACTTTATAAAACATCTAAAAAGTTTGTAAACTTTGATGGATTCAAACATTTGATTCCTTATAATAATTTGTTTTTCGTTATAGTTCTACTGTTTCTGTGTCATGTGACGTGTTGTGATGATGTCACAGAGCTAAAGAGCGCCTCCATTCATTGGCTGTCATGTGGTCAGAGGGCAGAGCCTGAGGTGTGGAGTAAAATGTTCTGCATCCTGTCAGACGCACAATTACTGCTGCTCAACAACCTGGAGGTACGAAACACACAAATGAGTTAATCTGAGAAAAATCATCTTCATCATATGAAGCTTCATCCCCTCATTTCTCAGGTTTTTCACATTAAAAGTCTATAAAGGAAAAGTGAAGATACTTTTATTTTGAAAGCGTGTTGATTCACATGGAGAACGTCCTGTCTCTAATGTGAGCCCTTCACAATAAAGTGTCACAGTGATACAGGAAGTGGACATTTTGTTTCTTCTTCAGGTTCATCCTCTTCTTCTGGCAGAGAGGGCGGAGACTTGTACCATTTGGTTGCTAAGATACACTTTGCATGTGACCTCAACCCCTTCTTTCTCCGCCCACAAAGGTAAGACAAGACAGACACACACTGACAGACACACACTACACACTGACAGACACACACTCACAGACACACACTACCAGATGATGGATGTGCATTTTGACTTTGAAGACTTGAACGGTGAGAAAATATTTTCAACATTAATGTAATTTTTCAAAGCTCGGCCTGTTTGTTTTTGTGTGTTCTTATTGTGGTTGTGAGTGTGTTTGCTTGGGTTTTGTGAGTGTTTATCAGGATTTATCTCGTCTCTAATCTCAGTGATTTGTCAGATTAATAATCTTATAATCTGGGATCTGAGGTCAGTTGCCATGGTAATGTGTCTGTCCCCTCCTCTGGTCGCACATCATCACCTACTAAAAGGTTAAAATTCACAGTGAGGGTCTGATCTGTAATAATATTGATAAACATATTGATA